ATTCAGTGAGAGATTACTGAGGTTAGAAAATACATGAGGTTGATTATGACTGTTGCAGAGTTTCAGCGGTTTTGCTTTTGAGATTTTGAGTTATATCATGGTGCTGGTATTGCTAGGAATGCTGTCCGTATTAGATTTTTGAGTTGTTTATTTAATGTATGATTTTGCGTAGTTTTCTAAATTTTTTATATTTCCTTCAATCAAGTCTTCAGAGTTGTTCTCAGGGAAACATAGATGTGACTTTTAACAAATAATGAAGAGATAGTGTTAACCGGTGACCAATGGTGACTTCACTTACCATGGTGAGCACTGAGTCATGTACAGGATTGTCGAATCACTGTGTGGTCCACCTGAAACTAATATTGTATCCCGGCTGTACTTCAGTACTAAAAATTAAAAAATAATGAAGAAAGTATTTGCTTAGTAGGAATCCCCTTCATAAGGAAAACTTTACATTAAAGGAGGGATTCTTGTACTTCAGAGAAGAACAATATTTTAATTTTAAGACTCCCCTGATCTCCATAAATATACACTTTGTGTATCCATCCCTGTGGGTCTACAAAATGTTTTGCACACACGACTCAATAAATGTTTGCCCAAGTACATTGATCCGGTCTAAATAGGAACTGAACCTGAAATCCTCTCCTCGCGCGTGTGCACACACACCCTGGCTGAACAGCTGGGGTAACTGTTAGGATTGGGTTCATGCATTCATTAGGATTAGGTTCAACTGTCCATAATAGAGACATCCAAAATAATAGTGTCCAAAAGGTCAAAATTTGTTTCTCACATAAAATATGTCTAGACGTAGTAATCCAGGGCTGCTACAGCGACTCTGTGAAGTCCTTCAGGACGTCCGCTCCTTCTCCTTCTTTGCCTCATCAGCCTGGAAAGTGGCCCTTCTCTTCATGGACTAACATGGTGATTAGAGTGCAGCCATTACATTTATTTTTCCACAGTAGAAACAAACCGATAGTAGAAAGGCCAGAGAGCACAAACTATCACGTTCTTCTTTTTTCTTAACATCTTCATTTCGGTTCTCAAGGTCCTAATCAGAATGCATTGTCTCCTCTTCTCCACATTGCCCTGTTATCTGGCATAGCATCTTTATTTTTCTTTCCATGTAAATTCAGTGTGCTCCTTTTTAAATATTAGTTTGGCACCTTTCTCTCTTGTCCCACTTCCCCAGCTCTGGTCTGTACACAGGTCTCAAGTGGTTCCTGTCTACTTTCTGGTTGATGAGCTCTTGTATTTAGTGAGGTCTTAGTAACAAAGATCTAGTGTATATCTTGACCCAAAGTAAGTTTTTTTGGTTTACTGTTGGCTAAACTTCTAAGGCGATTTTCTAAGGAAATTAATGGACTTTGTAAAAAAATTGAGACTTATTTTAAATTTTATTTAATTCAGAGAATTTATTTGCAAGTTTTGAAATGCAAGAATCTTTAAAAAGAAAAGAAATATACTTTGCTAATAGTGATAAAACACTTAGCAATCATTTTATTTATTTTATTTACATTTTTGAGAGAAAAAGAGTGCATGAGTGGGGGAGAGGGGCAGAGGAAGAGAGACAGAGTCTTAAGCAGGCTTCATGCTAAGCTTGGAGCCCAATGCGGGCCTCGAACTCATGATTGTGAAATCATGACCTGAGCTAAAATCAAGAATCTGATGCTTAACCCATTGAGCCACCCAGGTGCCTCGTTAGTAATCATTTTAAATCCAGAATCCATTCAGGTCTGTTTTTGCATAGTACTTTTTTATTCTTAAGCTATCACTTTGAATGAAAGGAAATAGACATTGGATATGTTCAACTCACCTTTCATTTCACAACTAGGTGTCAGTATTAACATACCTGATTCGGTGTCTCAGGTGTGATTATAATGAGCTCATTCAAATAATTACTCACCCATATAAGGTACAAGTCAGAAAATAAATGATAAAGAAAACAAAGAAAAATTAAGCTACTTTTCTTATTTCCAAGTGGACTGGTTAATTTTATATTTACATTTTTAAAAACAGAATTTTTCCCCCACCTTAGTAACTATGCACAATTAAACTTTCTGATTTATTTGGTTAGGAAAGGCAGGTAGAGCGTGAACTTGTGCCTTTTCACTACTACCAACCAGAGGTTTTTCCTACAACTTCTCCAGAAAGAGTGATCAGAAAAAGAAGGAAAATTATTGCTATTCACATAGGGTGTGTGTGTGTGTGTGTGTGTATGAGAGAGAGAGAGAGAGAGAGAGAGAGAGAGAGAGAGAGAGAGGGAGAGAGAGATTCTTACCTACTTGAGACATATTTGAGAGCAGGACTTATGCATGTATTGTCAGTGACATTTCTTACATTTCCCTAGAAATCTCTCCTGGTATAACTAAATCTACCTTTTTCAATTCAGTCCTCATGTAAATAGTACGATACCTCTTGTCTTTCCTTGTACATCTGATCTGACAATATTTTCACAGCATTTATACTGCATTTCTCTAACTAGAGTGTCTCACCTTTTATACCCATGTTTCCTGTTGATACGTACACAGTCCAGTGTAATAACTGAAATATCATGAATAAAATCCAGATAAAGCAATAGACCAAAGTGCTGAAAACACATCCGATGCTCCATCCCACTAGAAGATCCTGATGGGTTCCCTTTCCCCAATTCTCTTTTCAAGAATCCCTGCTCCTGCATGATTTAAGTAATAGATCTAGCTCACTTGTACAAAACTCACTAAGTGAATTATATTCACTTAGATACTGTTAGTTAAACATTTTCAAAATATGTGTATGTGGCTTGACAAAGATTTTTGGATTTTTCAAGTATATAGTAGAAAATATTAGTCAACTTGTCTTTGGATCTCAAGTCCAGATTTTGACAGAATTGACAGGTTTGCTTTTTTAAATTGTTATTTATAAGTCTAAATGTTTCCTTAGAAACATGTCCATACCCCAGAACAATTCTGTTTTGAAAAAGCAAGTTGAATTACTGTCAGCAATATCTTGGTACATCCATTTCTCATCATGGAAGTAACTTTTTAGGTCATGCAGTGGATCCTAATTTTACAACAATCCACAGTAATGTGTAAACAGTGCATTTGCTTATTGACTTTTAAAATCTCTTGTTTTCTGAGAATTTTCAGTTCATCAGTTCTTAGATAGCCACATAAAACATTTATTTGGCAGTTACTTTTTGTAAGTTTTTGTGTCTTTCGGGCACATGATGCAAGAACATAAAATTAATTATTGATTGTGGTACAGATTCAGCACATCACTGTAGATTGTCAGTCAGCCTGAAAAAAGAGAAAAGTCATATTAATCAACTCCAGGCAATCCCAGTTTGCTGCATATATTGTGGAAATGCAAGCAGGCTACATCATGCTCATAAGATATCTTATTCAGCAGAACAGTAAAATAGTTCAATAAAGTTGATTTAATTCTGAGCTCTCTTACAGTGCTTAGTAGTAACTTAGTTCTTGACCTGAATTATAACAGGTCTGTGATTTTGCAAAATGATCCTTATATACTAATTTTCTTGTTTGTTTAAAAGCCTTCTTGATTTGTGTTTCAGGATTTCTCTGATGCCCTTGACAAAGATATTATGTACAACTTTATATCAAGGCAAGGGACTAGTTACTGCTTTTAAACTCGGTTGGAGTCAGCTATATATTACTCACCGGACCTCAGAGTTTCCAGTTATCTATACCTAGGAGATAGCTGGTCCTGGCCGAGTGTCTTCAGCAAATATGTACTTAAAGACATTTACACCCTTGTTTTGTGTCTGGCATCTTCACTTTTAGGCCTCAGTGAATGGCTGTGATTATTTTCTGAGTGTGTGTGAGCCTGTGAGCCTTCCTCTTTACTCCATCTTCTGTGATCTGGGTTTTATTTCTGGTGCCTGCTGCATGAGCCCTAACTTCTCACCACTAAATTTTCTTTTCATTTTTTGATATTTGGTCTACCTGTGCTAACTATTAACAGCAAATGGTTATTAGACAAATAGCTGTTTGGAGGTATTATGCAATTTTGTAATATTTTTTCTTATGGTATTTCTCAGAAGTCTCAAATACTATTATTTTTAAAACTTCACATTTTCTCCTGATTTAGGTCAGTATATATACATGATTAGTTTTGTATGTGTTTGAGTAAAGAGTGCAAGGGGGTGGTAATTGCAAAGTCTGACAGCAGCTATGTGTGTTTACATAGCCTCATTGTTGACTGCCAGTGAAGGGCTATAGCAGAACTCTGAATCTGATACCATTCTGAAAATTATTATTATTATTTTTTTAGCAGCAAGATAGAAGGGCAGTGAAGGCATGCCCTTGGAATTATTTCCCTTGCTCTTCTTACATTCTGTCCTAGGCTGTCAAGATTTTTTTTTTTTTTTTTTTTTTTTTTTTTTTTTTTTTTTTTTTTTTTTAGTCTATGTGTTTTATACATTTGGACACCACTTAACTGTTGATTTCATTTCAAAACTTGCCTATGCCTTAAACAGGTGAATTTTTTTGGAATGTAAATTATATCTCAATAATATTATTGTTAAAGAAATCCCCCAAATTTAACTAAAAGCATTTGTAGTGATATTGGGAAGCAGCTTTATATTAACATTAGAAGGTGAAGAGTAAATGGTAGTTAATTTATTTATATAAACTTCCACGTGATACAGTTTTTAAGAATATACTTAACTATCCTATTTTTGGTTTGTTTGAACTTACGAGAACTTTCTATTTAACTTGTAAGTGTGTATCTTAATGGAGTGAGGAAGGCAAAGGTCAGAAATACTGACTAAAACATTTAATTCTCATTTTTAGCTTCAGAATGCTGTTTAGAGTAATGAGCCAGAAGTATGCACGTCTTTCACTTCGTGCCCGACTCCCGCAGCCTGGTCAGCCACGGAAATCTGAGCTCTGGCTAGTGAGGAAACGTGCTGCACAATTCTGCTACTTTGACTTCTCTGTAAAGTGAACACGTTGATACTGAGGACTTTGCATTTTAAGATATTCCATTTATCATTACAGAAAGCTGTATTCCTGCACAAGTGGTGGCTGCCATTGACGTAAACACTGTCGCTAATGAAGTGTACGCGTACAATTTTCCTCACACTCAGTTACTGGCCAAGACAATTGAAGTGAGTAATCATGCTTATTGCTTTGATAAGTAGATGGCGAGGAAAACGTGATTGAAAACCACTGTATGATACTGATCGATGGTGTGTTAATTGGAGAATAAGTTATATACGAATGAGAAGTTTAGGAGAAGGGCATCGACATTTTCTGTTCTGTGGGAAGATGGCATGCTCTATTTTGCCTTTATTTTTTTTTAATTTTCAGTTTAAGAGAGTGAGAGTGAGAGAGTTCAGTATTTTGGTTTCTGAGACAAGGGAATGAAACGTAAGAATATGTTTGACTCCTAAATTCATGGTTCTCTAATGGCATTAAACTTTGATTAATTCTTTACTTTCAAGCAATAGTCACATACTATAATATGTATGTATATATATATATAGAGAGAGAGAGAGAGAGAGAGAGACAGAGAGAGGCAGTCATTGGCTATTATTTATTGAATGCTTCTTATTTTAGCAAGCCTGTCAGAATTAAAGGTTAAAAGTACACGTGATGAACTCAGCAGAGGTATTTAACACTATTTTTAAATAGTGTTAGTAAATAATAGTTATTTTAAAAATAATATGAAATTGTTTTTTTCTCTCATTTTCTTGTTGTGACGACTTTTACAATGAATTTCTCATGAAGCCATAATTTATACACAATAAACTGCACTCATTTAAGGTGTGTAGTTTGAGTTTTGACCAGTACATGCAAGTGCGTAACCACCGCAATCAGGACTTAGAACGCCCATCCCCTACAGTGTTCCTTGGTGCCCCAACCCCGGGCAACTACTGATCTTTCTGTCATTACGGATTAAATTTTCCATTTCTAATACATCACAAATAAAATCATGAGGGTGAGTTTTTTTTGGGTGTAACTTTTCTGTGTAACATAATGTTTTTTGAATTCACCCATGTTGTGCATATCGGTAGTCTGCTCTTTGTTATTGCTGAGTCATATTCTGTACAGTGGAATATTTTACACTACAGTGTATGTATCCATTCACATGATGTTAGACATCTAGGTTGTTTCCAGTTTTCGACCATTACAAAAAAGTTGCTATGAACATTCATGTCCAAGTTTTGTGTGAACCTTTGTTTTCATTTCTTGTAGACGAATACCCAGAACTGGAATTTCTGGGTCATATAGTAGGTTTCTTTAATTTTATGAGAAAATGCTAACTGCTTTCTCTAGTGCTTATACCATCTTACAGTCTCATAACCACGTACATGTTTCAGTTGTTTCACATCCTTACAGCGCTTGATATTGTCATTTTTTAATGTTTATTTATTTTTGAGAGAGAGACACACAGATAGAGCAGGGGAAGGGCAGAGAGGGAGACACAGCATCTGAAACAGGCTTCAGGCTCTGAGCTGTCAGCACAGAGCCCGATGCGGGGCTCGAACTCAAACCACGAGATCAGGGTCAGAGCCTAAGTTGGACACTTAACAGACTGAGCCACCAAAGTGTCCCTGATATTGTCAGTTTTTAAAATTGTAGCCATTCTAGTGAGCATATAGAGGTATTGTGATTCTTTCGTGTGTGCTGATTCTAATTTGCATTTCCCTGCTGGCTAATAATGTTGAGCATCGTTTCATGTACTTCTCGGCCATTTCTGTGTTTTCTTTGGTGATGAAATTTCTTGCCCAATTTTTATTACTTGGTGTGTTTGTAATATCATCATTTAGTTGAAAGGCTTATTAAGTTTTCTGGATTCAAGTTGTTTGTCAGAATATATATAACAAAGATTTCCTCCAGTTCTGTAACTTGTCTTTTCATTTCCTTAACTGTGTTCATCAAATTGCACATGTTATTTATCTTTTTTTTGTTTTTGGGTCACGTTTTTATGTGTTCTAAAAAAAAAAATCTTTGTTCACCCTATTTTTCCCTCTTCTAGAAATTTTATGGTTTTGGCTTTTCTATTTAGATTTCTGACTCATTTAGAGTTACTTTTTGTGTGCAATTTGAAGTAGCAGTCATTTATTTTTTTCCAAGTGCATAAAACATTGTCCTGGCACCATTTCTGAAATGATTATCCTTTCCTCAATTTCCTTGACACCTTTATTAAAAAACTAAGTCATAAATGTGTGAGTCTATTTCCAGACTCTCTTCAGTAGTATCTGTATGTTTTTCCTTACACCAATAGCACACTCTTGTGATTATTATAGCTTTATAATATGTATTGAATTCAGGTAGTATAAGTTCTCGAATCTCTGTTTTTCTTTTCCAACATTATTTTGGTTACACTGCCATTTACATTTGTGTGTAAGTTTCAGAATCACCCTGCCAATTTCTATGAGTAAAAAAAAAAAAAAAAAAAAGACATTTTTATTGGAATTGCACTGATTGGTTTTGGAAGAACTGATATCTTAATAAAATTGAGTCTTTCAGTCCATGAATATGGTATCTCTCTTCATTTATTTAGATGTTCTTTAATTTATATCAGCAATATTTTATACTATTTAGTGTACAAGTCTTACACACATTTTAGTTAATTAATCCCTAAATACCTGTGGGTTTTCATGCTATTGTAAGTGGTGTTTGTTAAAAAATATATTTTGAATTGTTTATTGCTAGCATATAAGAATACACATAATTGTGTTTCTTGACCTTCACCTTGTATCTTGTGACTTTGTTATATTAATTTATTCTGATAGCTTTGATTTTTTAGGATTTTTCCACATACCCACAAATACTATCTGAGAATAAAGAGTTTTGCTTTCCCCTCCAATCGGTGTTACTTTTTTCTTATTGCATTGTATAGGATCTTCTGTACAGTATTGATTAAATAGGATTGCCTTGGGTATCCTTGCCTTCTTCTAGATTCTAGGGGCAGAACCTTCAGTCATTCACCATTTAGTATGATGTTAGTTGTAGATTTTTTATAGATGCATTTTATTAAGTTTCTTTTTATTACATTTTCTGAGAATTTTTATGAGGAATGGATTTTTAGTTTTTCAAATGCTATCTTTCTTGCATCTTTTGGCATGATTATAGCATTCTCCCCTTTTATTCTGGTAATACAGTGATTATATCAATAACTTTTTTTGAATATTAACTCAGTATTGCATTCCTGGGATAAATCCTACCTGGTCATGATCTACTATCTTTTTTATGTAATAAAAATTTGTTTTTTTTCAATTTGTTAATATTTTGTTAGATATTTTTACATTCTCCTCAGCTTTTTAGTATGGTTTTGGTATTAGGGTCATATTAGCCTTATACTTTTTGGAAGAGTTTGAAAAACAAGTATTAGTTCCTCTATAAATGTTTGATAGAATTTAGTTAATGGAGCTATGTGGGCCTAGAGTTTTCTTTGTGGGAAGATTTTAAACTATGAATTTAATTTCTTTAATTGTTACAATACCAGTAAAGCTTTCTATTTATTTTTTTGTTTAGTTTTAGAAATTTGTGATCTTTGAAGAAATTATCCATTTTATCTAATTTGTCAAATGTATTGGCTTGACATTTTTCGTATTTCCTTATATCCTTTTTCTACATGTGAACTCTATAGTGATGTACCGTATGTCATTCCTAATGTTAGTTATTTGTATCTTTTCTTTTTTTTTCCCTCTGCTAATGAAGCTGGAGGTTTACCAATTTTATTGGTCTTTTTAAGTAACCAGCTGTGGATGCAATTGATTTTATCTATTACTCATTTGTTTACTATTTCACTAATTTCTGTTTTTCTTTATTATTTCTTTCTACTTACTTTGCATTGAAATTTTTAATACTTCTTACAGTGGGACTTAGATGATTGACTTGAGATTGTTTTCCTTTTTTTGTATAAACATTTAGTGTAAATTTTCCTAAGTTTTGACTACATTTCACAAACTGTCATATGTTGTGTGTTCATTTTCATACAGTTCAAAATATTATCCAATTTGCCTTCTGATTTCTTCTTTGGCCCCTGCATTATGTATAAGTATGGGTTTAACTTTCCAAATATTCATGATATTTCCAGATAGCTTTCTGTTATTGATTTCTCATTTCTGTTTTATTTTGGTCATACTGTGTATGATTTCAGTTATTTTAAATTTGTTGTGACTTTGTTATAGGCCAGAATTCATTTTGTCTAGTGAATGCTCTATCTATATGCTATTGAAAAGAATGTATTATTTTCTTTTCTTTTTTTTTTTTAACTTTTTTTTTTAGTTTATTTATTTTGAGAGAGACAGAGAGCACAGCAGGGGAGGGGCAGAGAGAACGAGAGACAGAATCCCAAGCAAGCTCTGTGATGTAAACACAGAGCCTCATGTGGGGCTTGAACTCACAAACCTTGAGATCATGACCCGAGCCGAGATCAAGAGTCAGGCACTTAACTGACTGAGCCACCCAGGTGCCCCAAGAATGTATTCTTTTCTTGTTGGGTGGAATACTCAGTAAATGTCAGTTAGGTCAAGTTAGTTGTTAGTGTTCAATTTTTCTATATTATTACTGATTTTTTCTATCAGGTGCTGAGAAAGGGGTGTTGTAATCTCCAGTTACAGTCATAAATGTGTCTCTTTTTTCGGTGTTGTCGTTTTTTGCTTCATTTTATCTTGAAGCTCTGTTATTAAGTGTACATACTTTATAATTTTTTTTTTGTGATTGACCCCTTTAGCATCATGAAATGTTCCTTTTTAACCCTAGGAAGTATTTCTTGTTCTGAAGTCTACTTTTCCTGATATTAATACAGCCACTTCTGCTTTCTTATGATTAATGTTTGCATGTTTATCTTTTTCCATCCTTTAAATTTTATCCTACTTATATCTTTGTATTTAAATTAGATTTGCTGTAGACAGTGTATAGCTGGGTCTTGCTTTTTTATTCAGTCTGGCAACCTCTACCTTTTAATTGGAGTACATTTACATTTAATTTTGTTATTAATATTATTTTAATTCTACTACCTTGTTATTTGTTTTCTATTTTTCCGTCTGTTTCTCCACTAATGGCTATTAGGTATATCTTACTATTTGTATCTGTCTTATTTTCTTAGTGGCTACTCTAGGGTTTACAGTATGCATCTTTAACTTATGGAAGC